TGTGGGGGTCAAGCAGCTGGCTTTGTTTCACATATGAGACGGATGTACTAGAACGAGTCCTACGATAAAGACCCGTGGTATAAGTTGTATAACAAGTGATAAAACTTCTCTATGGCCTATCCTATGAAGGCAGATACCTCAAGGTATTTCGGTTATCTTACCATAGGTTACAGAGTGGTCTAATATTGGCTTATCTTACAATGAACGATGACCATGGTATTAATGTCTTATCTTCCCCTTCCATCTAGGACTGATCATCTGAGAGGACATTCGAAGAAAATTTAAAAATCAAGATCAAATCGTTTACGTCTGGAGTTTCGTTTCTCGAACAGAGTAGTGAATTACTGGAATTCTCTGCCAGAACACGTAATGTCAGCACGTTCTATTGATATATTTAGAACTATATTGGATCTTAACAGTGTTACAAACTGAGAGGATTAATATAGGTCAATGGACATATTATTACCACTGAAGACTGAAGCAAATATGTAGCACATATAAATAATAGTAATAATTTATTCTCAAATAACAGTTTGTTACATGATGCATGCCAGTTTACAGGCAAAATCAAATTGTTACGAATGATACAATATCCACTGTGGTAAATTACTCAGCTGGGTTGATAATTTATAAGATATGAGTGTAGATGGTTTTAGTCAGTATTACAGTTAGCGCGCTTCATAAAAATTGCGTTGCGAATGTACAATTGATGGTCAAGAATAGGTCCATTGGAGGTGGGAGCTTCTAGAAATCGCAACCTTATGTCCGTCTAGAATATCTAAGGCTTTAAGGATGGTGCAGCATGAAGTCACCCGTTTCATATCTCAAGGGGGCTGAAAGAGGGAGCAAGTAAAAGAAAGGACGAAAGGCAGTGTTGCCAGTATTCATGAAGGAATGTTTAAAGTATGATTACTCAGTCTAATTTTCTTTTATTAAGGTATTTGTTAAGCAGGAGCATTTTAATAAGTTGAGGAAAATAAGTGTAAACAAGGTATGAGTGGACATACAACTGACAAATGGAGGCGATTCAGAAAGGACCTGAGAGTATGGGACTATGTGTGGTTATAAAATATAGCGCTAAAAACAGTATTGTGATTTACAATTGGCTATCTATTTTTTATCGAAGCTATTGGAGCCCTTTTCATTTTTTTTTGTATTATTATTATCTTTGTTTAGGTATCATAGGGTCTTGAGTAAGCTTCGTATATTAGCGAATTGTCTAGTTTGCTTGTGATAGAATTACTGTGTAGCAAGTGAAACCAATTTAACGTTCGTAACACGATTTAATGAAGTATTTTGCATGATAAATCAGCATTAATATCTTAAGTTCATGACATCTCACTAAACTATAAGGAGTCGTAATTAAACAAAATGTTCTGCGCTACAGACATGGGTGAAATTAAGTTATCCCCCCACCAGGATCAGGCACAAAGGAAAGTTGAACTAACAACTCGGAAAATCCTGCATAGGTAGGCTACCTGTCCATTCGCGTAATGCTCATACAGACGAATAGGATGGAGAAGCTCATGAATTTCAAATTGAAAGCATAAACTGCTTATACATGAACGCCGCGATTTTACCGACTAAACTGGATGAGCTACGTGAACTCAGTAATGCTAACAAGGCCCATCTGATAAGAATCTCTGAAACGTGGGTATCTTTTCAGTCCACAGACCAGGAGCAAGCAATACCCGGATCGTCATTGTTTCGCAATGACAGAACAACAGTAATTGGGGTGGAGTTGTGGAATTATTAGTACTGCTCTAACAATAGACTTAATCCTAAAGTGATAGATTTGTCATGATGTAACTGCCTAGTCTATAAGATCTTATGTGGAAGTCACACCATTGTCTACACTGACTCATCGTATCGTAACAATTACCAACATATGATGGAGAACGCATTCAGTCTGGAGATAGAGCGATATATTTAATATGGGTAAAAGATATAAGGTAACATTCAACGGGAACCACGCCTGCAAGTCTGAGCCATGCCATCCGATCAGTTCTATATAATTCAATTAATTGTCACCGCCATCTTCATCGTTAGGTTTTTCCCCGCGTTAAATATTGAATATCTGTTTCCTCGATTATCTCGTGTCCAGCTTTGATGAGTGTATTGTTAGAACCTGATGCCCCTACATAGTAACCTTATACTTCCGATCTTGCCTGGAGGCACATGAAGTGCACAATCAAGAGTTTATCAATCTTGATGAATCTGTATGGTACTCAGTAAGATTGTCTATCACCTCGAGTTGTCTAGCTGGAGTTATCTACAGAAAGCTCACTGCTGACATTTAGTACGACAATCGTATGCCGGATGGATTTCCCCGCTCTACTCGTCTCGGATTCACTCATATCCAGATTCTAGGGAACGTCAATCTTCCTAAAGCCAATGTCACGGAACATACGCATATTGGAGGTGAGAACTCCACTGAAGCTCGGTTCTTCAACCTTACCGAGGACTGTGATTATTCGAAAATTTGAAGTAGGCAACTCGGTGAGGAGACAATCAGACGCCGCCGAGCTTAGACTAGGTATTTATAAACACATATTTCTGGCTCCCCTTGAGAGAGGCGATTTCGCCATCATAGCATTCAGTTTTATCAATAAAACTGAGCTAAGACATCCCACCAACAATAGGCTCTGAAATTTCAGGCGGTTCAATGTATCAGCTTTACAGGACAATCTATGGTAGATGGATTGGAAAATTCACCCCAACTTGATATGGGTGCTCATTTGGACTTCTTCCTGCACACGATCTTATGTGCTACAAAGCACTCAGTTCCTCAAATGGTCCGCAAAATCTACAAGCAACCTACAGTCATCATGAAGCGCACTCATCGTTCGCTCAGCCGCAAAAGACACTGTTGGGCAGAATACAAATGAACTGATAACAACGGCGCGTACATGCAATACAAACATATAAGGAACGTATGCACAAAGGCAATAAGAGGGGACAGGTTTCAGTAGCAGATAAAGCTAATCGATAAATTTGTATCCAATCCGAAAAGCTTATTCCGTTATACAACCTCTCTTCGACAAGCCTAAACTGCAGTTCCCCAACTGCTAGGTCCTGACGGCCCAACCAACAACGACGGTGACACCACTAGTTTCCTGGTTGAACAGTACTCTCGGACATCTCAACCCACACACACTAACTTTATTGATGAAAGCATCATCTGCAACGTTACAAGGCTTTCCGAAGCGAAACTGAGCGCTGCTTAGTGCACCGGAAACTGCAGCACTTAAAAAAGACATTTCTCCTGGTCCGAGAATGGTTCATCCTGCTATACTGAGGGAAGCAGCTTAGTGTGATGTTCTTACACTCGCTAAGCCGAGGCACATTACCAGAAATTGGGTAGCTGGCTCATATTCAAAGGAAGTCGACGCAACGAACCTCCAAGCTACCAACCGGCGGCTCTTCTCGCTATACCTTCAAAAGTTATTGAGTCAATAATATGCGATGGTCCGTAAGACTATTTATTATCCATAAACTACTTTTCACCTCAACAGCATGGTTTCGGGAGGGTCACTCTTGTATAACAAACCTGCTGACTGAAGTGGACAGATGGACAATCATCCTTGATAGCAAAGGGAAGGTTAATATTATTTACCTAGACTTCTCAAAGGCCTTTAATAGGGTAAACCATAAATGTCTTATCAATAAGCTCAAACGGTTGAGTATCAAATCACTTCTAATTGACTAGCTCATTTCATGTATAAAAATCGACATTTTAAGGTTAACTTCACTTTCTCTCAGTCTATGGAATGTTCTGGTGGGGTCCCTCAGTGCTCAGTACTAGGGCCTCTTCTTCTCTTGATTTATTTAAACGACCTTACACAGCAGGTATCGTCTGAGTTATTACTTTTTGATGATGATGTGAAGTTTTGGAGAGAAATACTCAACAAAGATATTATACTGGCACTTCAGGAGGAGTTGACTCGACCTCAAAGTTGGGCAGATCACAACGGATTTACCTTTAACACTTCAAAGTGTAAAGTAGTCCATCTGTATCATGTTACAGACTAAAGATACGATATAGGAAATTCCCGTTTAGAAGTATCTCAAGTTGAAAAAGAGATTTAGCAGTGCTAGCACCCTACGATTTGAAGTCTTACGCTAACTGTGACCAAAATGCCTTTTGAGAAAACCTTGTACTGGTAACATTGAAGCGCATTCTTGGTCATTTTGGAGGAATAACTTTCCACATAGTCTTCAACAGTTTCATTTGTCACCATTTAGAGTACGGAAATATAGTATCTCCTCCGTCACTCCAAAAGGATAAGGAAACTCTGGAACGTATCCAACGGTGAGCCACGAAATCAGTTAAGGGACTCAAATTATGAAGAGCACCTCTAATCACTAGATCTTTACCCGTTTGAGTACAGGCATCTTAGGGTGGATCTTCTAATGGCTTACAGAATCCTTAACACTTCTGGACATCCATTAAAACACCTACTTAAGTTTAGCTCCAACACAAAGCTAAGAGGTAATACCCAGAAACTGGTGGCGCAACTAACCAGAACGGACTGTAGACACAACTTATACTCCTTAAGAGTAGCCAAATGCTGGAATTCGCTGCCGGCTGAGCTAGCTCAAGTGACTTCCCAGGAGTCCGTTAAGAGAAAACGACATATTCTTAAGGACTAAGGATAGTATCTTACTATGAATTACCAATTTCTTTTTTCTCTTTTATCGTCAGTACACATAGATTCTGCCTGGAGATATTGGTGATCCACTGCTACTAGACACGGATGCCCGTTAAGCGAAAGCTTCTTCTATTCTGTCCACAACAATTTGAACCATATGAATAATTTTAAAGGCAAAAGTAAATTAGTTTTGTAGTTACAACAAGATAGTTTGCCCATGATCTTCAACTACCAGTGCAGAAGGCCATAGAATATTATCTTATTTTAAAATAGGAAAAAAATGTTAGAATAACTCACGGCTAATGTTTTCAGATTTGCCCGGGAGTTTGTATCGTTAAGTTTGTCCTTGTAAGTTGAGGTGTTTTGAATGTGTTCGTTTTTCTATGGACACCGTGAATACTTAAACAGTACTTGCTATCGACGAAACGACGCTCCTCAGCTAGTTCACAACATCGTATGCTGACTGTGATCTTAATTCATTTAGGGCCAAGTTTACATTAACTCTGAGGAATATTCTTGTTTAGCTTGATGGTAAAACGTTCCGTTTATTTCTCAAGATTTTTTCAGTCACGTACTCCGAAAATGGAAATATCATGTTTTGTTCTGCACTCTGTAGAGTATAGAAATGCTCATCAAACTAACGACATTCTCACTAGACTTCGAGTTGGAGTCAGGTCATCCCAAAATCTCATTTCATCCTTTTAGTTGTGAATTTTCTCCATAATTTAAGTAAAAACCGGTTAAAATTAGTTCTGGGGAGGTTATATATATAAAGAAACAAAGGCCATAATACGGGACTATGGAATATTCTGCTAGGACATTCTCTGTCATAAGTGAGCTGGTAATTCACCTTAACCTTAACTAACCACTTATATTAATTGGACCTAGACTAGTTGATCAACACTAACAAATTGTCTATCCGCCTGGTGCTGGTGGAAATATGATTAATCCGATCAAATATGTTTCGTCTGTCTTCCCTCATGGTTGAGCGTATTAACCTAGTCACTGCCATAACTGAAGGATTCGTGTTACAGAAGTAGATTTCCGTAAAACTATTGAGGTACAACCATAATATCTAAGGTCGGTCATAACGTTTTGTAGTAGATTGTCATAGGCAGTGGCAGCACTTTCAGGTTGCCATGTTTATATCTGGTAACAGGACGAAGTTTTGAAGTAGATAATATAAACTTTCGTGTCATTACTCGAAACCCTGCTAATAAAGTATACAATTCCCTGTCTGTAAAATTTGGTGAAAGTTAATTACCCTTGGATTTAAAATTAGTGAGAATCCATTCAGGCCAGTGACATTTTCAGCTTGATTAGATTACCCGGTACTCTTTGCTATTATTTCGGATCAATCTCCATAGTTACTTTGTAGGTTCTCATGAAACAGCAATAAATTACTAAGCATCAAATATATTGAGTCTTAAAAGCATTTTCCATAGTGAATTATCAGGTTAACCAGCCTAGTTAGACAACAAAAGATTTGTCTTCATATGTCAGCAAATGTTTTTCTGGATGAAACGTGGGTCTTGTACAAGTCTCACAATAACTCGTCCGCGAATATCATCTCAATGCATACTTAATAAAAAACACTTCATGTCTAATGAACAATGAATGTTTAACTGTCATTGTGAACTCCATGATAACATAGTGTTATAAAGAAGAGATAACTACCAAGTATATCACACTACTAAAGGCTCTTTACTTGAACGGATTTTATCGTACCGAAGTCTACTACGAACTTGTAAGTAGAGTGACTGTTAAATAATGTTTGCTTTATCTGTTTTTTCTGTGTGCTAGTATTCAGTTTCGTGATTATACTTCTGAGTGTAAAAGCCTCTTAAATTAACCTCTCAAAAACTTACTTTCCAATTAGATATATGATCGAACAGGTAAAACGAAATTTTGTTTTCTAGTTTTTCTTGGCAAAAGTTTAGGAACTTCTAAACTCTATTTCTTGTCTCCTACATACAAACCCTGTATAAGAAATACTGGTTCCTAGTTTTGCAGTCTGGACAGATAATAAAGAAGGCGGAAACATCGGTGTATCACACTACAGTAAAGAAGAAAGAGTGAATATATGTGAGTCAATAAGACTAATTGCGAGTCATATCATCGGGCTTCAGCCGTACAAGCTACACTTCCATACATCGCTCAGACTAAGGGTTTTGGTGGAGTTTTGTTCTCTGAGCTGGATGGTTTGGTCGTGGAGCCTTCATCGTTTTTCTGAACGACATCATCAGCACAAACTTCAGATAGAAGTGAAGTGTTTGAATTTCTCCATATGTGTCTCAAAGCTTGTTCTGTGCACCTCGACGTTGATTGGTTCTTATTGACCTCAAATTTGTCGTTGTTTACTTCTTTGTTTTGGTTGTGTCTCCCATTGTTTTGATTTTTGTTCTTATGTTTGTGCATGATTTTTCTGATTGGTTGATAAATTGGATTGATTTCAATATGCTTGTTGATTGCTGATTGACCTGAGTGCCAGGATTCTAAAAAATTCTTTGGTGTTTTTGGAGTTTCCTCTGTCTATGATTTCCACATTTTTCCAATCGAATGAATGTCCGCAGTTGTCCACGTGTATTGATATAAGTGAAGAGATATCATGCCGTTTGACTGCTAATTGATGTTCATGTAGGCGAAGGTGAAGGGGGCGTCCACTTTGTCCGATGTAGTGTTTTTCGCAGTTGGCACAATTTATCTTGTAGATGATGTTTGATTTGTTTTCCTTTGTTATTTCATCTTTTGGTTTGCATAAGATTGATTGTAGTGATTTTGTCGGTTTGTGTGCCACACCTATTCCGAAGGTTTTCAGCAGTCTCGTCGCGGTTTCTGATATTCCTTGTATATATGGTAGGGTGATCCTTTTGTTGATTTTTGTGCTTGACTTGAGTTCTAATGCTGCGTGCGGTTGGTATTTTTTGATGAAGTTGATGGGGTAGCCGTTCTTCTGAAATACATCCTTTAGGTATTTCTCTTCATTTCTTCGTGCTGCCAGTGTGCTGCAGTGTGTCCTCGCCCTCTTGAACAAATTGTGTACGCAGTTGATTTTGTGAGCTCTGGGGTTGTTGCTATTGTAGTTGAGAATTTGATCCGTATGGGTCGGTTTCCTATATATTTGAGTTTCCAGTTTTCCTGTGTCGGTTCTAGTGATCAATATACCCAAAAATGCTAGTTGGTTGTTTGATTCCTGTTCCATGGAACAGGATTCGCTACGTAGACGACACCTTCGTCATCGTCAAAAAGAATGAACTAGAATACACTTACAACCTGATCAACAACGTCTTCGATGACATCAGGTTCACCATGGAACAGGAATCAAACAACCAACTAGCATTCTTGGATATATTGATCACTAGAACCGACACAGTCAGTCAGTCAGCTACAACGTAGGACCAGGCACATATGTGCATCGGTCCAGGTTGCCATACCTCATTAGCACAGCAAGATGAACAGCGGATTCATAGGAGTGGTTAGGTCAAAGGTTGCAATTGTGATCGATTCTGAGCCATGTCACCAAGAGTCTCCAACCATTGGTTACGAAAGTCACGCGGACCCCAACCAAGTAGTCTGCATCTACCAACATGGCTCAGACTAGAAGTTAGTGACTTCAGGCCGTTGTTGCTACCTTGACGTGGTGGTCGGGCTTGCCTATCGTGATGAAGCAACCGAGCTATACTGGCTGGAACAACCGTTCCTCAAGGTCCTACCATGTCAGACAGGTCGGTTGAAGAGCGGTAAGACTAAAAGCAACAAACCCAAGGTCCGAAGGCGAAGTCGTACTGCTGACTGTACAGAGGTGTGACAGCAGTAAGGTGTTTCCTTCAGACAACCAGCATGACAGCGATGCTGCCTTCCCACAAGGAGGGGTGGGGTTAGAAAAGGTCGACCCTAAAAATGCACACCTCGCCTTATCCCACGGATATCCGTCTCCGGCGGTAAGGTCTCAATAAGTACGGAGCTAACACAAAAATTACCCATAACAAGGTCGTGTGTGACCGACCTCAAGCAGTTGTCCCTTGGGCCACTGCGGTCACGCTCTCAGGTCACTAAGACCACCTTTAATCCAAATTCCTTTTCAGGTACCTCCAGAAGAACCCTTCCACGGTGTGGGCAACCGGGAAGTGAAAACCGCCCTCATACCTCTAACAGCACTAATCCAAAGAACCGACACAGGAAAACTGGAAACTCAAATATATAGGAAACCGACCCATGCGGATCAAATTCTCAACTACAATAGCAACAACCCCAGAGCTCACAAAATCAACTGCGTACACAATTTGTTCAAGAGGGCGAGGACACACTGCAGCACACTGGCAGCACGAAGAAATGAAGAGAAATACCTAAAGGATGTATTTCAGAAGAACGGCTACCCCATCAACTTCATCAAAAAATACCAACCGCACGCAGCATTAGAACTCAAGTCAAGCACAAAAATCAACAAAAGGATCACCCTACCATATATACAAGGAATATCAGAAACCGCGACGAGACTGCTGAAAACCTTCGGAATAGGTGTGGCACACAAACCGACAAAATCACTACAATCAATCTTATGCAAACCAAAAGATGAAATAACAAAGGAAAACAAATCAAACATCATCTACAAGATAAATTGTGCCAACTGCGAAAAACACTACATCGGACAAAGTGGACGCCCCCTTCACCTTCGCCTACATGAACATCAATTAGCAGTCAAACGGCATGATATCTCTTCACTTATATCAATACACGTGGACAACTGCGGACATTCATTCGATTGGAAAAATGTGGAAATCATAGACAGAGGAAACTCCAAAAACACCAAAGAATTTTTTAGAATCCTGGCACTCAGGTCAATCAGCAATCAACAAGCATATTGAAATCAATCCAATTTATCAACCAATCAGAAAAATCATGCACAAACATAAGAACAAAAATCAAAACAATGGGAGACACAACCAAAACAAAGAAGTAAACAACGACAAATTTGAGGTCAATAAGAACCAATCAACGTCGAGGTGCACAGAACAAGCTTTGAGACACATATGGAGAAATTCAAACACTTCACTTCTATCTGAAGTTTGTGCTGATGATGTCGTTCAGAAAAACGATGAAGGCTCCACGACCAAACCATCCAGCTCAGAGAACAAAACTCCACCAAAATCATCCACCTGAGCTACAAATCTTCTCCACCATCTCAGACTAAGGGTTGATGGTTTCCCAAACTCGTGCAAATTTTTTGTCTGGTTATCTATTATACCAATCCACTTTTATGCTATGGAGCATAATTATTTATTATTATTAATTTATCTAAACACATGAAAATTGGTACAAGGAGGCACATAAATCATTCGATTTGTGTGAGGGCTGTAATACTGCCCGGGTGCCCAGACCGAAGCAGGTTAAAGCATAATGGCTCAAGAAGAGCGGTAAGTGAAAAAACGACATATCCTAAGACCCTTTGAAATGACGTTAGTCATGAACGACTAATTTATTATGTATTAATATTCTATACCTAATATCAGTATTGCCCACTGGGATGCAATCGGTCAGGTAACTCTCTGAAACATATCTCCTATTCAGTGGTTATTTATTGTCATGAATAAATACGTAACCTGCTGAGTAATTCATTCGTTTTTTAATTAGCATCCGCATTATCTTACGTGGTATATTTTAAAAAAGTAATGTTAGCTGTTTTCTGTAGTAGTATGTAATTGTAAGGCGGAAAGAAGTTCGGCTTTAAGAAATCTTGTCATTTCACATAGGCTTTTAAGCCACATTACTGACTTTTTAATGAAGTATTTATCGACAGATGTTTTAAACTAAAAGTTGGAAACTAAGGTGATGGTACTTTTTTACAGGTGGGCCTGCATGGAATGAAGAGAACTAGTGGGAACCAAAATAGGGGAATGTTATGGTGTCCTGGGAGTTGTTTTGATCTATCTTAACGATTTTGGGTTCTCGGCCATCATTTCAACACAATCGGTCTGAAGACAAGAGTCTAGTAGGTACCTCCAGTGACATTTCCAGTAACCTGTGGATCCGTGGTCAGTTATATAATATTACAAGTTATTCAGTGTAGATTCAAACTTACCATCAAATGTACCAGATATCTCACTTGCCGTTCATGTCATTGCAATCGTTTAACCAGTGATTTATGCATAAATCATCCTCGTATAACTTTGATTCAAAATAAAATGTATTTCTACTAAATGGTATTTGCGTAAAGAATCTTGCAGATATATTCCCAACTTTCTGTATACTGTAGTTACAATAAAATACTTTTGTCATTATCACAACAAATCCGGTATTTAAATTTTTCAGGGTATTCGTAAAGCCATTCACGTCTGGATGTTTAGCTTTTAATTTCATTTGTGCTTTGTAATTATGTCAAACCTCAGTGGGTTTCATTATATACACTTAGCAGTAGTTACTTAACGATACCAATAACTATCAAAATCTTTACATACGTTATCCCTTTGTTACTGGTTTGCAGTGCTATGTATGCCGACGAGTTAAGCAACTCTGTGCAGTCCATTGATCTTCAAGACATTACTCAACTGAACAAAGCAAATCCTGATGTGACATCGAACTCAGAAGACTCAGAAGAAACATCCATTCAGAAGGTGAGTAAAAATTAAATCAAATGTGTACAGTTACTCGTATGATTGACAAGTACTTTACGTGTTGGTACGTAAATTAAATGATGCTTCACATGAATTTCTTCAGTTTTCCTTTTTATGTCATATCCTTTAACCTTACAAATATTGTCAGGTTGTAAAAGTTAGTCTTTGCAAGAATTTAGAATTAGTGCTTTTCTTTCAATTCGCAGATGGTCACAGGTTGCAATTCAGACTCCGCATATGTAAACATTATGACTCAATGAGCAATGTAATCTGTAGAAAACCACGGTAATATTAGTAATTTACCTATAGATGCTAGCACAATTGTTTTATGGTACGGCACTTTATCGTCGTGTCCCCACGATTCCTTTCTTTATGGTTCATTTCTAGTCCTAATAGTCATAATAAACACAGAACCCGATACAGACATGCAGTGGTCTAAGTTAGTACCCCTGAAATGATGTAGATCAAGCGTATTCCTATTTCATGATTGTACCAAAACTTCCCGTGTGTTTAATTACTATCAAACTTTGTGATCATTTAGTGTTACCGAAAAATACAAGCAGCACTATGGAGATAGCAATAATATGTAAATTTCTCAAGCATTCTCAGCTAGGAACGGTCAGTCATGCAGTATGAATATGCTTATCGAATCCAAATGACTACAATAGGTGCACCATAATCTTCTGAATTGATGAAGCAACAACATATCAATGAAACTGGCTTGGGGTTTGCCTGGAGAAACGATGCTTTGGTGTTGAGACATTACACTGGAGGATCTCTCAGTTTGTTACAACGTTTCTTTATTGTGTTTCCGATTAGTAAACCATTGATACTGAACTAAGTTTTTGCTCTTTATGACCTCTACAAAAAATAGATCATGGTTAAGCTAAAGTAAACAAAAACTTGAAGTAACTCAGCTCAACCTCCAGTTAATTTAGAATTAACTTATCCTGCTGTCGTTTTGTCTTTCAACTGGAACACATCTCTAAGCAAGGAGGTTCATTCGTAATGTATTTCTTTTCACATAGGCTTTGAATATTTCTACATGATTGAGAATATTTTGTATCATCTGTGGCAAAATCTGTTTTACTTTCTTATCAGTTCATAATTCTACTATTTGATTCATACTGTAGACTCTTAATATGTCATCTATTTTATTATCGCTTTTAAATATTCATTTCTTTTTACTGTTTTTAAACATTTTAGTCAATAAAAGCTGAAGCACAACCTATCCTGCCTCCAGGATACCAAATATCACACTGCCTTGCGGAAGGTGGAATTGGACGAGTATATTTAATTGTCAATCCTGATACTAAGGATTGTTTAGCAGCAAAAGTAGTCAACGTATATGGTCAAAGCAGTCTTCGTAGTAATGCAAAAAATGAAGTTAATGTAACACAAGTTAGGGCAGAACTTCGCCAAGAAGCTGAGTTACAAAGACGCTTAAAACATCACAATATTGCCACTTTATATGGAATCAGGTAGACATTGTTTCATTAACGAATGTTTGTTTTTTAATATATATTATAAAATGAACGCAGCGTTGTTCTATTTTGTTAGAAAATGTTTTCATATTGCTTTTATATGTGGACTGCATTTCACAGACGCTCTCTTAAAAGTTAGATAAGCATCCTTCGGAAGATATCTAAAGAACCCTTTTTACACTGATCCATTAAAAGTTGGGTCTTGTTTAGTTTTCAACTTATACTAATCGTCTCCGTTTGTTGTTTCCTCCAAAAAAATATATGTGTAGTAGCTATAAGCCGTGATTGAGAATGAACCGACCAACTGCTTAAAAGATTTTTAATAGAAGGTGATTTACATAATTTCCAAAGCAATATGTGCTTAACAGAAATATGCATAACTAACACAAAGTCTTATCAAATTTGCTTAACCACTTGATTAATCTATCCAAATTCAATAACAGTAATGACAAGAATGATATCCGCAGTTGAGAATAATCCGAAGACAATGTTAAAATAGTGAGTGAAATCAAGAAGTGAAATAATTAGAATAATACCATTTCAAAAGGAATGAAACAGATAAATGGATCTAGGCCACAACAGTTGAGTTACGTAAGTGTGTTTTTATTCGATTCGCAGTAACGTCTAATGGATTTATCCTTCATCTTTCTTCGTACATGATAAATGTCGTATTAGTTTTACCATGTTTAGATTTGCTTCCGTATATTTAACGTTTCTTAATGGGTTCCTACTTGTCTTTAAAACATGGGGAAAATGTCTCAATCTGCCAAGGTTCTAAATCTTTTCAATTATTTTTAATTCAGTGGTTCAATGACTATCTGCTCGGTCAAGTATGTTTATTAATATCGACAGGAAACTTGTGCAAATCCTGATGATGTATGACTTGACGGGTCTGCTTAAATGTTTTTGTGACGTTTTTTTTATTTGTTCTTTGCGTTATCAGTAGTAGACTAATATTCCAGACACATATATATTATAACTAATGAAATTCGTTGTGTTCTTTATTTTTAATCTTACAGAAATACTCCTACATTCACATTTATGTTTATGGAATTACTGCCTGGTGGCGAATTGTTTGAGCGTATTCCAATTGGTATAGGATTACACGTTCAACAGATGTTTATATACTATGCGCAGGTATTTGAATACGTGAATATTCTTCTATTTTGAATAACTAATATTTTGTATATTGGATGCATTCTATTTATGGTAGATAGTAGACATGATACCGTCTAATTCTAAACTGTTCAGACTGTTATCATTTAAAAGACGGTATGTATTTAGTATATTTGATAGGGGTGAATACATATAGAACTTGCATAATTATAACGAACAATGCAATGAATACCTATCAGAAACATGGGTAAATAATCATTCATTAAATGTTACTTTGCAAACTTTTTTTGTTTCTATGGTTTACATTGTCATAAACTGACCACAATATTTGTAGATGAAATCGCGCATTTAGTTTTTTATGCTTATTATTTTAAATTACCATTTTCCTTGAGAAACAGTTCAGTTGGGTATGCTTACTACTGGTCATGGTTATTATGGATTTTTTCTTTGACATTTATTTATTATTTTTTTTATTTTAACACATAGATATTGGTACAAGGAGGCACCAAATACATATGCGCCACACAAATCGCATTCGATATGTGTGAGAGCTGTGATACTGCCTGGGTGCCCAAACCGAAGCAGGTGGTTTTCTTAGGGGGCCACACCCCGAGCCTTCGAGCTGAAGGTCTGATCCACAAGGCGGTGGAGCATCGTGAGGAGATGCCGTCCCATGGAAGCCGGCGACCAACGATTGGTTCATACGCCATTTGTTCCCGCAGGATACTGGAGCCCACGTGCACCATTGATTTGGAATCCGGTTAAAGCGCCGGACATTCGCTTTCGCTTTTCGTCCTCTCGTTTTCGTAAACAACAGTAATGCCACGAGAAGACAGTGAGTAAGACTTCCCTGGCAGAGGCTATATACGCGTGGCCATGTGAGAGCATTTCGAGAGGGAGAGCGGACTCTCCCCACTCTCGGCCGTACCAGGGCATTTAGGGGCTTTCTTTGACATTTGGAGGTTCTTAGTGTTTAAAGATGAAATCTACTTAATATTGAAATACAAGTACTAATAATCTACGTATCATTCTAGACATTGACTGGTAAGTACAGTTTACGATTTGGAAAGTGTAATGAGTGTGAAATGCACGACTCCAACGTTCAAGCTAAATCCTAATCGTTGTTTTCATATATAATAAAAGCCTAAAAAAATCAATCTCGTATAAAAAAGATTACTTTAATACTCAGCGTCAATAACCTCAAGTTTGTTTCTTTCTGTACACAGATTTTAGATGCATTGAATTACCTTCATAATGATCAACAAATAGCACATTTAGATGTGAAACCAGAAAATATTATGCTCACAAAGAAGGATAGAGCTAAACTGATTGATTTTGGATGGGCTGTAGATCTGCGAAAGCAAAAACTTATTCAAGGAGCAGTTGGTACAACAAGTTATGCTGCACCTGAAGTTTTTGGAAAAAAGTAATTACATATTTTACTTACCATTATGATTATGATTATCGGTGATAAGTTTTCGTATAAAAAGATACCTTTGTACTATTTTTTTAATATTACATGAATTTTTTCAGATCCTTCATTTCCTCTCTGGATTTTCAAATATAATGCCAACATATCACTTCCGAGTAATGCTTACAATTACCTAGTGCTGTATAAGCTACAAATATTTGAAGCTGTCCGTTATAATCTAATTTTCACTTTTTATCTAATAGAAGTTAATTTAAAAAGTAGACAAATACTGTAGCAATCTCTGTACTATTGTCTGGAAAAAAACTATTTTCAATCAGATATACGACTATCATATGTTTTCGTTTATGAAACTGCAGACTTTTACTTTAAAAGTGCTCCCCATATGGTAAACAATTATAGGTGGACACAAATCAGACTTTTTCCGCCTTAAGAGAGCACCTAGTTTACTTCGTTGTGGAAAACAAACAAAGAATTTCCGTTATTCCTTCTTTCCCCTGTCGCTATTTTACATATACAGAACTAGAGAATTAAATATCCTCACTGATATATGTGTAATAACGAAGCATTAATATGTTGATTCGTTGCAAAGTGTTATTAATTGTTAGATGTTTTTGACTAATGGGAGTTTATGTACAAACGGTAGTGTCTTCAGATGTCTATCGAAAATTTTTCTTTTAACGATTGAGTTGTTTTTTGTTGTTAGATATCCGCCGTAAATATCAGTTTCAAAAAATTTTTCTTTATCTAGCCCCTACTTTGGACCACCTGCTGACCTATTCTCACTTGGTGTTACACTTCTCACAGCTGTCACTGGTCAACGTTGTTGGTCACGTGCCAGCTATACATCCGATCCTGTATATCGCCAGTGGACCGAACATAAAGATTTGCACACAGGTCCTGTGTTTTCCCGACTTCCTCCTGACTTAGCCAACTTTCTCACACGAGCCTTAGCTCATCGACCTTCTGATCGTCTTACTATTGAATGCATTAAAAATCATCCTTGGTATCGCCTTGGTCTTGCCCGACGTCTAACTCCTGTTGCGTCACCGCGAAGCAGACAAGACTCAGGTGTATCTGTAAGTACTGTCGTACCAAACAGCGACCGTACCAATACTTCACGCAGCACTTATCAAGGAGATGCGCCAGGTTTGTGCATAATTTTTTTATCAGTTTTTCGCTAAATATTGATACTAATAATCCTTAAGGTAGCTGGAAAAGATTTCTGTTTAAAAACTGATTGGTGATGACACCTCGATTTTATTAGCTGGATAGTAGTATTAATAACTTTCATACATACTTTATTCAGTTGTATTATTATTTTGATTTCGAAATTTGTAATTCTTTTGTTTTCGTAAGCCAGTCATTTGTCCGTTTATCGACCTTGGGATTATCAGTAGTTATTATTACTGTTTTAGTGTTACTTGTGAGGTATGATGTTTATTAGTAAAATCATTGGTTTATTTTGTTCTTTATTTCATTATTTACTGTTCAGTACCTTCATCTCAGCCTACGCCAGTTTGTCATGCTCAATTAGATTCTATTATAAATAATCTTCACTTATCTCAACCGGCTGATATTGACAGTATGCTAATGGTAAGTTTTTTCTTCAACTTGTGAATATGTTGTGTTAATGTAGTAGTGTTACAATCCATTTCTTTTTATACTATCAAAAAGACGGAATCGCACAACAGTTTTATTTAACATCTGTTTGCTGAATTCTTGTGTTTCACTATCATTTCAGGCGTCTCAGATGGTTGGAGATATTGATTACGTTAAGGATCGGCTTGGTTTTTCCTGTCTCATGCGCCGTATGACTCGATTCTTTTCAGCACTCTCCTCAGTAGAACATACAATGGAGGTCATTCGAGCTGTCGTTGTTCAAAGGAGGCATCTGCGGGCAACAATCAAAGGATCAAATAACCTACTTGTACGTCTAGTCACTCTGTTAACATTCTGATTTTAAATAAAATAGGGAGGAATCAACCATTGTTATTTTATATTAGAATATTTTCTGAATATTATATTAAAGTTAATATTTCTAGAGTTATTATAAATGACATTGGTGCAGTAAATTAGTGCCTAAAGCATTCTGATTTCAACAACTTTGTGGTAGATCTAAACCATACATCACCTTCAGATCGAACTGAGTTCTCACATAGACATTATATCTCAGCCGATTTTAAAAACCTGCATCGATTTTTAAAATTTACAAATAATGGTGTGCATTCCACTCCGTAGTTACAGCGTAGTTTATATTATCGTGGAGTCATCCATATAATTTTTTTACCGAGTTGAAATACTATAGCCCGAGTATTTGAACTAAGTACATTATGTATATTTTTCGCATCTATTATCGCTGACATACTTGATGAATATAACTGTCATCTAGGAAAGCAAAGTTAAAGGTTAATCTTTACCATTAGTATGTTGTATACTTTGTTTAGCATTAATTATTTAGAATCTGTACGACATCGTTTTTGGCAATATCTTATGTGTATTTCTGATCTCACTAATAACAGACTTCACTATCATCATGAATTGTTCTTCTTTTTAACCTTATCTTCCAGTGTATGCTGTCATTTTTTAATTTTAATCAACATTAGTAGTAGTAAATTCCAAGCATATAATTTAAAATCTAATTAACCGTTTATAACGCTAACTGGTATGACTTGTCATATCCCACTGCATAGACCACTTCCTACTAGTTGGTTCTATTGAATAATTTGTAAAATAACCTCTTCTAATTGGTTGTATTTCATTTCATACATATCGTGTGTTATTCATAAACATAACTTTCACATTCAATCTACAGGTGGATATCAAAACTCCGGAGCATCCAGGAACTGCTTTCCGAGTATTGTTATATCCATTAGCTGGTTCAATTCTTGTGGATTGTCGTCGTGTCTCAGGTGATGGTTTATTGTTTCATCAAACCTATGCTGCAATCTATACAGATCTTTCAGCTATGGGTGCAGTAAATATAACACATCCTTACTTACATATTTTGTTACCTGAAAGGCCTACAGCGGAGCCTAATAATTCAAATTTAAATGACGGTACTTGCATTTCTGAAAATTCTCCAGTGGTCTACGGTGAATTAACTCCAGTAGCAATGGAGACATAGATTTCTTTCTATAATAACCTATATTTTGATAGATCTTTTGCTTATCCTGAGATTCTGTATGAATATTTTTGCAATAATTTACTTTGAAACTTATAATGATTTCTTTAAGTCGGTTTAGATTTTGTCCTCAAGTAACCTGTCCCCTCGCCTCGGGGTTTATTTTTATATCTGTATTAGAGATTGTTTAATGAATGAAGTGTTTCTGTATGTTCCTAAATACAACTTCTTCACAGAATGGCGTCATCATTTATTTGTGATTGATTGGGTTTGGTAAAACAAATTGTACAACAGTACATTGAACACAGTATATAATATACCATTTTTCTCTTTAGTTTCTCTGTTGTTTATTTGGGGATAAACTACCTGTGCCCTCTAATTAAGGGAAATGTAAGATTTAAATGTTATTTAGAAGTGGTCTAATCAACAAGTGGTGGATTGTGTTTGAAAAGTAATGTCTTCTGTCCACTGTAAGAAAGCTGCGTAATATTTGGTCGAAAATACTGATGAATTCATGCTATTCTGCTAGAATCTTTGTTCTTGCTCTTTTCAAAATGATAAAGGGAACTATGTGTATGAAAAATACTGATGTAGTTTCTTTAACTTCAAAACTATCTTTAAGAATATTTATCTCAGGAATCATATCTTATAAAGTCAACGTGGACTTCCGAAATGATTTCCTTACACTTCGTTGATAAAAAAGGTGGTGGTCCTATTTCTTGATTTCAGACAATGGGTTCTGATATCATATTACACATTCAAGACATTTTCAGTGTTTTTTCAGCAATTTAATTTTGAAATTCAATATACAAATGTATTACACAACAGAACGTCGTTCTAACGCGTAGGACTATAAAAATAAGGAAACTGAAGGTATTTCTTATAAAATAAGCAAGTAGAGGATTTCAGCGTTGCAGCTTGAATAGGAAGTTTATTCTGTAGATCCTCATAAACTGAACAGATTGACAGATTCACATGTTTGACAAACCTATCCCATATAAGGAGCTGGTGAAAAAACGGTATCCAGATGACTAAACATTAACTCCATCTGCAGCTCTTCTAGGGCTACTGCCAGTCCCAAGCCCGCGTAAAGGAGGAGGGTTGGGCATGGGGTCTTGTGAAGATTCTAGCTAATATTACAAGGTGGTAGCAATTATTGGTTTTGGAGGACAGTTTATGCAATTTAGAATCGTTTGCAATAACGTCGGTATGGATTTTCTCTTCTGCATGTGAGGGTTGTTATCTTGTAAACCACTCATGAAAATCTTCCATGATATGTGGATCATACTGTTATTTCGTCTACTTACGAAATATCTGTTGTGTCTTGTTATTTGGGTTCAGCACGGACTTAGGCCGTATATCGAATATGGTGCCACGGATTTAGAAAGGAAAGCGATAGGTTCTCTTCGGGACTGACGACAGTCAATTGTACTCAACACATCAAACCTGGACAGCTATGGTAGGAAGAAGATGGGATTGAAGGCAACGTGATAGTTGTGGTAGAACAAGCAACTCAAACGAAATTGTTGCAAAAGTTGTTACTATAGTAACAAAATGTGTAGCAATTTAGCGAACTAAAAAATATGACAACCAATCAGTCATGCGGAAAAGCTAATTGAGCGGTTATCATTCCAGAACAGATCTTAGCCCTTCTAATAAAATCAGCACTATCACAAATTAAACCGATATCTAGCTTCCCAAAGTTCACCTCACGATAGCTATAAGAGATTGAAGGTTTTCGACTACTAGATGACAGATATAAGTTGGAAATGGATTACTTTAACCGGACCTCCAAATAACACAAAAAAGTGACTTTTATTCATAAATTTTATTATTTTTGATTAGGAAAAAAGTAAATATTGTACATAAGTCAACGTTCTTTCTTTCCATCAATTCATTATTAAGTTCTGTTTAAATCTTTTACCAATAAAATTGTCTGTTTCAGTCGATTCAATTCATTTGAAACATTCAATTGTGAATTTGATTTGATTAATAAGTTAGAGATCAGATTATTCGACAAACGATTTGATAATTGATCAAGTAAATTGATAGTTAATTGTTTACTATATTGTATAGATTGATTAGTTTTTAATGAAGAGATAATATCATCATCACTATTTACAGTATCACAGTCATTATTGTTATTGTTATCATTATTACAAATCTGGTTAGTGTTTGTATTTGAATATAAAGAAATGACTGAGGATAAACACGAGACTAAATCACATAATGAATGGCAAAGGATGTAAAATTCAGTATTTCGATGATATAGTTTGTCGCTGGTATCATGAGAGAGATGATTGGTGGATTGAAAAGGATCTAATAATTGACTATATGGGATTTCCAATGACATACACCATAAATTGAATAGATCTGATGTTAATGTTAAGAGATCGAATGAACCACAAAGTTCTAAGGGAATAAATAAAAAAGGATATAAATGAATAATACTAGATACTGAGGTTTATATTCTTTCAATCGTGAACTTTCTAATTAGTTCGGCTCTTACAATTTTCAGTCAGTTACAATGTAGAACCTGCACGTATGTACATCGGTTAAAGTTGCCACATACCATTAGTACAAAGAGATGAAGTTATCCGGCCAAATCCCAGAATAACAGAGATAGTAACAGTATCAGTGGTAATAAGAAAGATTAGGCATTGAAGATATACGACTCGAAAAGAACATATAAATTAGCAAAATAAAAACAAAAAAAGTTGAGGAATTTAAGATCTCAGAATGGATGAGCCTAGGCTATTGTAGACGATTTTGAGTCATATCATTCAAGATCCCTAACCAGGTAGCCTACACCTATTAACATGACAAAGTCTAATTGTCAGTGACCTCATGGAATGATGCCATTTTTTGGTGTGGTCGAACACGGCTTCCTCGAGGCCTGCTTCTGCCCCAGAAAACAGCCCGTTGAGGTTGGCATTGGCTGGACACATGTAGCACGTCCAAATAATCGATCAATCGATTCCCAACCATTACGTAGTACTCTATTCCTAATCCATGCACGAATAATGCTTTGTAGACACTTATGATCGAATACCAGTAACCTCTGAATATCCACTATTCTTAATGACCATATTTCTTATCCATGAAGTCGGAACGGACCACATACTGTGCAGTAAACTCATCCTTTGGTTGGAAAACGGCTACCTCGTCTACGCTACAAGTGATGCAAGTTGGCTAAAACCGATAGAGCCTTCTGAATCTGTGCCGAGATTTTGTCAGGCACCAGATCATCAGTACTGATGAGAATTCCGAGATAAGTAAAGTGGCCGATGAGTTCAACTACTTCACTCCCTATCACTAATTGAGACAATGACCCGAGCCAATCCTGAAGTAACATTTTACATTTGGAGGGAGAGAACAACATCTGAAAAATGTTTGAGGTGGTCAGAAGACTGCACTTTGTCAGCGTCTTCATCAAAAAGAACTATATCATCTGCGTATTCTAAGTCAAAAAGTGAATCTCCTGGTAGAAGATCAATCCGTGAAAAGTCATGATGAAATTGTTATCTTTTAAATGATGTCTCCAACTCTTACGCTATAATATATATGCTGGATAAGGTAACATCAGGCTTTTGGATTTCAAGCAGACAAAAATATGATTCGAGAAGAAAATGAAAATATGAATCCATAGAATAAATATTAGAAGATATTTGTAAAACTCAAGATCTAAAGGAAGGAGAAGGCTAAATGTATTTGTGTCATTGGGACCGATTCTCAGCTATATCACTCAGTGTCTTTGCATTTTGTGAGAAAAGCTTACTCCCAACTTACTCCTGCGACTTGATAATCCAGTGCAAATCGGTGAGTCAACTCCGCTAACAAAACCGAAATAGTTCAACTTAATATTGAAAAGCCAAGTGTGGTTTAATCGGAGTAAACTTGCTTTTCTCTTGTCTTTGGAGATATTAAAGTTACTTCATCAATATTTCAAATAAAAAGCAAATGTAGTGTTCCTTAACTCGTAATAGAAGTTCGGGATGCAAAGTGTAAAAATTTGATTCATTTCAAAAGGTTCTAAACCATTAATATGGATAGTTAAACTGTTTTAATATAGTTAGCACAAATTGTAAATAGTTACTTCCAATAATAACAAAAAAGCATTTAACAAACTCACTACTCCAATCCAATAAGTAGAATAATCTTGAAGGCGTATTATCATTTGTCTCTTGACTGTCACTAATTAAGTTCGGTACAGGATAAACTAATACACCAGCTTTGAGTAATTTATACAATAGAAAGTATAATCGTTCCCAACATTTCCACTGTCTTGATTTGACAATTTTCCTAAGAAACTTGATAAGGAAAAATAAATAAGCAAACCTCACTTTTATTTGGCAATAGATGTGCACTATAACGATAAGCAGTGAATATTCAGCCTTCTGTAAACGATAATTTACTGCCCATCGAAACTTGTTGAATGAAGAAATTACATGCATATAACCTGCTTAATGTTACCATCTTAGACACTGTTGTCATTAATGATCAGATAACGATGACAAATTTTAACATAACTCATCCATATGTTATTTGAACTGATTCATGATTTAGTCTTTCTGATACTTCGTCAATATTTCTTGTTTCAAATAGGACTTACGTCGATAACCGCAATTAAGTGAAGTAAAGGCAATGCGCTTTCCAAGAGGTCTGAAGGTCCTATTTACGCACTCATGTGGAGTTGCAAACTATGGTAAAACAGCTGTTGAGTTTTCCCTAGATTTCAACGATCGTTTAGCTGAAATCTATACATGTGATAAACTAATTGACAAATATAGTTATAGTGACCCAGTAGTTTTGGTAAACAACGAATGATATGGCCTGAAGGTTGATAGATATTAGTGCTAATTTTCAATAAACATATAACAATTCAACGAAATCATAAGTGACATCAACACACAAAATTTAGACCGATGTGGGTTTGAGGATCGAATGTTAAAGAAATTCGCTACCTGTGGGATAATCAAAACCGAGCATGAAGGGAAAACCCGTTACAACAACCATCATCTTCAGATTAAAACATAAGCTGCAATTAGAATGAGGCACCACTTAGTCTTCCGAAACGTCATTTTGATATTCCTGATGTTATTAACGATATTAAGTGGGTCAAAATCTGTAGTCTGTAAAGTACATTCCCCAGTAAAAATCATATATTAGTTTTGACCAAGTTATACATTTTTCTCATTCAACAGTGAAGTTTTGTAGAAGTTCCATTGGATTATGTGTATCATCAATTCACTCAAAAGTTCATCGGACTTTACAGGTATTTTATTAAATTAAATTACTGGGGTTAAATTAATTCAAGCACAATTTTGATGAATT